GGGGCTGTGGCCAATGGGCAAGCGTGTGCACTCGTCAATCAATACGGGAGGCCGAAACCCCAGAGCACAGACCATCTTGGTGCAGGGGGCTCCACCCGACGCACCAGGCTAAGTTTACCCCTCTAACATCGCTTCAGGGCTTCGGGATGCCCCGCCGTAACGGGAAGCCACAGGAAACTTGGAAATACATGCAAACTCGTATGAAATATGCAGCGCACCATGTCCTTGTTGCCTTTTCCCGCCTCCAGTTCGCGCCAACAGTGAGAATGTGAACTTTTCAGCGAATCAGAGCCAACATGACATTTCGACCAATCAAAACTTTTCATTGAGCTTTATTTTTTTTGCTTGCGCTTGTGGGGGTGGCGACGGCGAGTGCGGTGATGACCTCGGCGCTCCGGGGCCGGTCCCACCAGATCCTGCACAGCGTCAGCACTGCGTTGGCGGCGCGCAAGAACGTGGAGGGAGACGCGCGCGCGTCGTGCGTTCTCGTTGCGCCGCCAGAAGAGATAATTATTCGGTGTGGCCTCGCAGGCACGGCATCTACGTGCATCTTCGCGAGCGTTCACGTTAACGGGAACGCCGCCCACAGCAAGCGGAAGCGGCAGCATGCACACCAGGCGCGTGCCTCATCTGACTCCAATGCGACTGGACGATGTTCGCGCACGTTGGCGCTGCACACCCAGCACACACGGGGCGGCACTTGGTCTTGGTCGTCGCTTGACATTGGCAAATTAAACGCAGTGCCGACTAATAATTAAAATAGTGGCGATTTTTGTAATTATCAGTCTATCTCTGCAATTTTGGATAGTGTGGCACTTAAAGCCGACGACGCTCCAATTGATGTTTAGGATTTTTATTGCCTATTATTACGACCACATCGTGGAAAATCGGCTGTGATGCTGGTGATTGGCTGAGCCGTGCCAGGGATGTTCGCGCAATGCTGACAGATTCCCGAATGCATCCTGTAAATTACAATTGATGTACTTCAATCACGACACGGATGGTCATGGTTCCTTAAAGGGATGAGAGTGCTGGCGATTTCGCACCAATATCTAATGGAATGATAGAAGATAATAGCGTGAATTTGTCAGCGTCGGCGCGCGCTCTTTAGAGTGCTGGCGTAGCGATAAGGTCGATGTTGGCGACTTGCGTGCAGAACATTAGGTTGGTAGAAGTTTGTTGCTCGGTAGGTTAATCTATATGGCTCTGATCGCGCTCTGCTGGTGCCGCGCGGACACGATAGACACGCGTGCCAACCGCTCCATCGGGTTAGCTCAGTGCTGATGTAGATGCATCCATGTTTGTAAATATTTTGATTTATTTAAGCAAATGAAATGCACAAATATTTTCGTTTCGGTATGTAAGTTGGCTAGACCAGTATTGCATTCCGTCCTTCCTGTGGTATCTCTTATCACAACGGTGGTGCTTTCTACATTGTGCATCAATCCACGCCTATCATTCCACGCGTCGTACGCGATATTTGTCAAAGCTACGATTGCCCATTATTGCCGTAAAGATGCGGTTAGATAACCTCTAGTTGCCGGTAATGTAGCGGGCGGCTACCAAGATGAGAATCGTTTGCATGCAAACCTGGAAAATATCTTGATTAAATTAT